GGGTCACCTGCAGCCCCATCTCCACCTTCTTCTTGCTCCTCTTCTTCCTGTTTCAGAAATGGACAACCTGCAAAATCAAAAATGCACAAACCCCCTAGACTGTGACCCCTGCTCCCACCACCTCCAGACTGTGGACCCAGAAAAATTAAGCCCCCCAGAAGGCTGGGACCAAGCAGGACAAGGTCCTACTCTGCGACCCTGGCCCCTAGAAGGGGACCTGGGTCAGAGGCAGCCTATCTACTCGGCCCCACCGCATGAAAGCCCTTCTCCATGAGAAGTTCACCTCCCAGGGTCAGGAAGACTCAGCTGTGGGGCTGGAAACCACAGTCCCGCTCAGCTCCCCTCCTCCTTCCCCAGCTGCCACACACAGCTGCCAAATGGTACTTGCTTTCCTGGGCAAGTCCTTCCCTGCTTTCCACTCCCACAGTCAGTGGCAGGCCGGCCACTCCAACCTGCCCATGCGGAGGCCTCGCTGCGCTGGCTTCCTAACGCAACACCCAACATGCTGCTTCCTTCCACCTTTATTGCTTTCCTACCCAAAATATGCCTAACAAAAACAGCAGGTCCTCCTGCCTTAGCACTAGCCCACACATTCTCCAAGGTCCTGCTTAGCTGCCAGCTCCTCCCTCAAGCCCTCCTCCCCTCTCTCCCAGCCACATGCGGCCCCTCCCTTCTAGGGGGGTCCCAGGCACTTCACAGCTGTGTCACTCATCATGCCTAACTGTGCTCTTTGTGGCCCTTATCCAGGAGACGATCTAATGGTGTAGTCAGGGATGTGGACATCAATGATGATGAAAACATTCTATTTCCTGACAACAGACTGGAAATAACACTGCAGGAACAGAGTAGAGTGAACTCCTAAGCTTGGAGTAGATAGGGAAGGGTGAAGACCATCAGTGAGAGTCACAGAGGAGATGACGTTCAGCAAGGTCTGCAGAAACGAACAGTACTTTGCCTGCCGGAGGTGTAGGAAGATAGGGCATCACATCATGCTGGGTCTGGCAAGAGGTCTGGCATGCCTAGAGCAAACAAATGGGGACTGCTGGAAGCCTGAGCTGTGGATGGGCTGAGGCTGGCGGAAGGACAGCTCCCAGAAGGCAGGAACACAGGACTAAGAACAGAGACCCACTAAGGCGATCACTGCTATAAGAACAAAGTTCTAATGGATTCACTCCAGAAGATGGCTCTCCTTTTCACTGTCGGTTGTTCTGGGACACCCGCCTGCTGTCCATGCCCCACCCTCCACCCTGAATCTCAGGTGCTGACTTCTCCCTGGGAATAGGTGGTCTTTGCCTGGCCTCTCTGGATGCCATAGAGGCATGGAACCACCGTGGGCCACTCCAGTGGCCTGAACAGGCACGTACTCACCCTGGCCTTCTGCTTCTCAGCCTGGAGCTGTGCGTCGATCTCCTCAGGGCTTGTGTACTGCCTTGCCCGGCCTTTGTGGCCTCCCTTTCTCCCTGTACAATGATTGGCAGTTTAGGAAGGTGGGAAGGAATCGGCTTCCTGGATGGCTGTGGGCCCCAGGGGGCTGTGTCCTGCTTGAGGTGCTCTCATCAGAGGCTGCAGAGACCTCCCCCACCCCCCCACCCCTCACCAAGCATCACCCAAACCTACACTCTCCTACTTTCACACGTTCAAAAGAAGCAACACGTGACCACCTGAGGCAGCTCCAAACTGTGTGCTGCAGGTAGCTTCCTACAAATAAGACCTGAGGGGAGGGTATGGGGGAGGGCACACTGCACATAATAACTGGCCAACTCCCCTGGACCCTTAGAATCCAAACACGGTGGGCCAAAATGCAGTCAGAACATATTAACACTCACATCCCTGCTATGACTACAGGGGTTTTTACTTGCAAATGTTCCGTCACAGCCAGGCACTCATCTGATCCTCAGAATAAACCTATGAGGAGTGACAGCTGGTCCCATTCTACAGACAAGACACTTAAGATTCAAATCTCAGCTCTACCACTTGCTCTCTTTGGGCAGGTACTTAACCTCTTGAGTCTCCATTTCTCCATCTGTGTCCTTATCTCCTAGAGTTGTCATGAGAACGAATCTGTTAACTTAGTAAATCTGCTGGAACAGTGCCCAGCACTGGATAAGCACTACAGAAATGTATGCTACGTTTGTTACTTTTCTAACAGAGTATTTTGGCAGGAGAAAAAAAACAAAGCCACTGACCACATCAGTGATTCACTGTAAACATCACAGAATATAATAAAATACTCCAGGTTCACCTAAATGGTATGGTAGAAAGAAAAAACCCAAAACCTATGGGAAACTTTCTTTTGCTTAGAGTAGGACGCACAGCTGGGAAAGTTAAAGTTGAAAATGAAGCCGACTACCTTCTAACAGTTAAAAATGTAACTGTAAGGGGCGCCTGGGTGGCTCAGTGGGTTAAAGCCTCTGCCTTCGGCTCAGGTCATGATCCCAGGGTCCTGGGATTGAGCCCCGTATAGGGCTCTTCGCTCAGCGGGGAGCCTGCTTCCTCCTCTCTCTCCACCTGCCTCTCTGCCTACTCGTGATCTCAGTCTGTCAAATAAATAAATAAAATCTTTAAAAAAAAATGTAACTGTAAATTAAAGCTCATCTGAGATTATCAGTTTTACAGTCGATCCTCTTGCACCAGGACAAGAGACTGACCCTGCTAAAGCCACCAGCCAGTTTTACAGCAGGATGGCACCTGCTCTGGTGGTCCTGAAGGATGCTGGCGTGGTTGTGGCCTCATCCATCCCCTCTTCTAGAAGCTTTGGCCCAGCTGATTTCCAGTGTCTCACTGAGTGCAGAGAATTTGTAATTAGCCAGCCAGAGCTTCTCGGGACTCCAGAGACAGTAGCACAACTACCCACCTCCTACTTCCTAGACAGCAGCTGCAGAGCTGTAATTGGGCTGCTACAGACCACACCACCCATTTTTAATGACTACCTGGGTTCCCAGGGGTGTCTCAGTCTATGCTCATGAAAGTCCTATTGTGAGAGATCAAGCTTGCCGTTAAAAAAACCCAACACCCTTTCTTGCCCTCTTAATATTCCAGGCAGTAGTCACAACTCAAAACTGGCTACTGTAGGCTCTCATCCTACACACCTGGTTAGGGGAGACTGACCTTAGTCTGGCCTACCATAACTCTTATCAAAAGCTCTTCCTGCCTTTAAAAAAATGTTTCACGTTTACACAATGCCAACAAGAGTGCATTCTTTTCTCTCAGGGAATTTTATTCTTGAAAATTAAAAAAGGCCTTTCCTTTGCTTTTCAAGCAAATCAACACAAGCAAGAAATGTAAATCTTATCTGCCATGAAGCTTTTCACAAGCCAAAGATCAAGTCACTTAACCAAGATATTCAGGATTTTCTAATTGTAATCTCCAACCCTGACTCAAAGTGTCTATGAAACAGGATCCTCAGAACCAAAATTCTGGACCCCGAAGGGTTCATTTAGCATCCCCCGTTGGCAGAACACAGGAATGAGAAAAATGGAAGAGACGTGGCTCTTCCTACCACAGATGAAATCAGTAGGGAGGTAAGTTTAAATGGATTCAGCTCTGTAAACCCCAGTATCTCTGCAAGTAAAAATCAGGAAGTCATTTAGGTTTGAAAAAACTCCAAGTAGATTTCCTGTGGGCAGAAGCATCTTAACCAACATGACACATGAGCTACCACTATTAACCGAACATCTGTTCTGTGCCAGGAGTTAGCCAGGCACTTGGAGTGCTCTATTTTTTTATGACCTCTATATCTCCAGCTCCAAGAGAAGGGTTATTGGCCAGGTGCTCCAGATGAGAAAGACAGGCTGGAACTAAGTGATTTCTTCCAGGCCATGGGGTTAGACAGTGACACAGCCAGACTTCAAATCAAAAACTTCTGACTCTTAGGGAGAAGAGAATGAAGGACTGGTCTACCCTGGATCCTCTATTTTCCTGGCCAAGAAATTGACAAAACCCTACAAATAATGCTTAATGGGCACTTAACGACCGCCCCGCGCTGTAATACGCACTCCACGTGGATTACCTAGTTCAAGCCTCCCACCAGTACTATGAGGTAGGTACAATCGTAAGCTCGGTTTGCAAAATGAGAAAACCCAGACAGAGAGATGAAGCGACTGGCTCAAAAAGCACACATGGAGCCACTACCGAATAGGGGCAGTCCAAGCTAGCTCTGCCAGGCTCGAGAGCATCAAGTTAGGTCTCGTTAGTCAGGCCCGGCTCGCCCAGAGCTCGAGAGGGCCCACATTTTACGCGCAAGGCAGACGGGCCCGGCACAGGCGCGGGACGCGGTGACTCAGTCCCCGGCGAGCCTAGAAGCGGGAGGAAACCCCAGATCCCCCAAGCCAGGAGAAGCGCGCCCTAAACCCGGCCTTCCGTGTCGCCGAGGACCCGGAGCCTCCGAGTCTCCCCAGACCCACGAAGGAGTGGCTCGTGGCCACTCCGGTCCTCAGTTTCTCCAACCGGACAATTGGGCGTCGAGGCCCAAACCTGGCTCTCAGCCGGCGCGGACGTTCTCCCTCTACGCCACTCTCCGAGACGCCCGCGGGCTGAATGAACAGAGGGAGCGGGACTCGGGCAGCCCCTCGAGGCCCGCGGGCCACGCGCGCTCGCCCCTCACCTCCTTTAGGCATCGCGGCTCCTGCGGCTGCGGCGGCGGCGGCGGCGCCTCGAACTGACACCGGAACCGGAAACACCTCGGGCTCGACTTCTTCCGCCCGGCCCAGTTTTCTCAGCGCTTGGCCGCCGCCGCCGCCGCCGCCGCCGCCGCGAGGGCTGGGGACCTCAGGGAAGCCGGCGCACGGAGACTGTCCCGGGCGTCGCCTGAGTCCAGGCTCGCCTACACGCTGCCCAGGCAACAGAGCCTCCGGTCCCCCCAGGTCCCGGGAGACGCGTGAGCCTGCCGGTCCCCCCCGCGGGATGCAAAGGCAAAAGGCAACAGCGGCTGTAAAATTCTATACAGGCAAAACTGCGGACACCTAAGATGACGCAATCTCCGCGCGAGGTGGGGAGGGGCTCCGCGAGGACCTCACCCTGGAGATATCACCTGGGAAGCGGAAGCAGTCTGTAGAGAGGTGGAGGGTGATGGTGACGGTGTTTCGGGTGAGCATTTTTCTGTGTTCTCCAGTACCTTGATAACGGCTAGGGCCAGGAATCGGAGGTCTGCACTGGCCCAGCAGCGATCAGAGCGGCTGGCCAGGGGTGGGTTCGGGCCTCTGGAGCGGAAGGTCAGGGTGAGTTCCCGAGAGGAGGTGGCGCCTCGTTCGTTCTGCCCAGAGAATGGGAGATTTGGGGTTCTCTTCTAGGTTCCCGCTTCTCCCGCTCTTTTCTCTGCTGAGAACGCCTTCTGTCTAAATACTGTTTGTTCTTATAAGCCCGGTTCAGATGCCGTCGTCCCTAGGAGCCTTCTCCTACAATCCCCACTGTCAACGTTTTCTCTCCCTCGCTCCGCACGCCTTTCTGCTCGTTTCTTCTCCCGAGCGCTACCACCTCTTAACACCGCCCGACGCCTCTGGATCTAGTTGCTTCCTACCTGTTACCTCCCCCTAGGTAACACATGGACCAGGGCTCACGAATTTCCCTGGGTCGTAGCAAAGTGCTCATCCCGTATCTCTGTCTTCTCGCCAGTGCGCGCTGGGACAGGGTCCAGATTCTGGCCATCTCTAGCTTCAGCATAGGGGAGACCTGTGCAAAGACCACTGATTAGCGAGTCTGGAGCCTCCCCATCAGAATCATATTCTGCCAGTTCTCAGCTTTTGCGACCCTGACTTTACCTCTAGAAGTTTCATTCCTCACCTGTAAGGTTGCTAATGGAGAATTCATGAAAGGAACCAGGGGATGTTTGTATGCTGGCGGGGAGGATTTTGTAAACTGCCCGGCATCCCACGGAAGGGAGGGACTGGATGTTTGGGAGAGAGGAGTCTGCTGTGCTTCAAAATAGGAGATAATTAACCTGTGTCCTCTTGGCCAGCTAGGGAATGACATGCGGTTTGAAAAATGTTTGTATATTTGTGCTGGCCTGTTGTATGGGCTTTATCTGACTTGCCTTTATGTAGTATTTTTTGGGCGGGGGGGTTCAAAGACTCTTTGCAATCCAGCTAATTCACTCCTCTCATTTTACAGACAAGACCTGAAAGGGAAGCGACCTCCCCAGAGTCACAGAGTAATTGGTAGAGTTGGTCAAGAACCTAAGCCTGTAACTGAAGAGACCAGAGGTCTTTCTGTTAGACTTCTTGGGAAGAGACGGTAAGGTACTTTGGCTTTATACCATCTTTTTCCTTTTTAAACCCCCGGTCTCTCGGCTCTCCCAGCCATAGGCCTTCTCACATTGTATTATAATTACGTTCTTACTTTCTGTTTCCTTGCTAGAATGTCATCTTTCCAATGACAGAAGTTGTGTCTTATTGTTTGTTCTTTGTTCCCAACTTCCAGTATAGGGCCAGGCTCATAGGTGATGTTAAAGGTAATGGGGAAAATCTACTAAACACATTTAATGCAGGCATGTTCCATGTAATTATAATGAAATCTTCACAATGGCCCTCTATGCAGTTTCTAGTATTCCCATTTTACGGATAAGGAAACAGATTTAGGGAAGGGAATGTGCACCAAAAGGGTGGCTGGTGAAGGCCTTTGGGGATTTCAAGTTCAGAAACAAATCCATTTAATTTTCCTCCTCCAGGTCTTTGCAAATTATCTTGTAGAAAAAATGCCCAAAGTGAAAAGGAGTCGGAAAGCTCCCCCAGATGGTTGGGAGTTGATCGAACCAACGCTGGATGAATTAGATCAAAAGATGAGAGAAGGTAAGTGGGGAGTTTCTAATTGGGTGAGCAGCGTCTAAGAGTCACAGGCTTTGATGTCTCCAGGGGGCAGGCAGAAATTCTAGTATCATATTGGAAGAGACACGCCACTGTGGCCTCTAGACACTGATCTGTTTTGTTTGCTTATTAACTCAGGAATATTAAGAGTTCTGGAAAATAAGATGGCACTAATGAAAAGGTCCTCAAAGACATTTTGGGGCCAACTTTGATACAGAAATCTTCGAGAATAAAGATCGAGTAGTCTACCTCTAATTATTTACTGTTTTGGTTAGGTACATATTTAGAGTCTTACAAAATATGTTTACTTGGAAAATCCTGTCCTTTTTCATGTTCACATTTTCTGTAAGAGTTTTATCCAGATTTTTCTTGGTCTCTGACACAGGTTTCATCGCTTTGTTTTTGCATTATCTACTAGTTTTCCAGAATGGGCCATCTTCAGTTCCCTCAAAATGCTGTATGATCCTGAACTTGATGAATCAGTATAGTGTGTTTTTAGAAATCTTATCTGAAGCCATGAGCATCTGTTGGCCTTTATGATCACAGTGTGACCACTTACTCAATTGCTTTTTTAAAAAAAAGAAATTTTTTTTTTTAAGATTTTTATTTATTTGTCAGAGAGATAGAGCACAAGCAGGGGGAGTGGCAGGCAGAGGGAGAAGCAGGCTCCCTATTGAACAAGGAGTCCAGCATGGGGCTCGATCCCAGGACCCTGGGATTGTGACCTGAGCTGAAGGCAGACACCCAGCCAACAAAGCCACCCAGGCACCCCTAAAAATTTTTTTAAGAGAGAGTGAGCGTGAGGCCTGGGGGCTCAGAGAGAGAGAATCTTAAGCAAGTTCCACATCCAGCACAGAGCCCGACTGATGGCTCGATCTTCCAACCCTGAGATCATGACCTGAGCTGAAATCAAGAGTCAGACACTCAACTGACTGAGCCACCCAGGCGCCCCTAAGTGGTTGCTTTTCTAAGAATTTTAAATTAGTGGGACGCCTGGGTGGCTCAGTTGGTTAAGCAGCTGCCTTCGGCTCAGGTCATGATCCCAGCGTCCTGGGATCGAGTCCCACATCGGGCTCCTTGCTCGGCAGGGAGCCTGCTTCTCCCTCTGCCTCTGCCTGCCATTCTGTCTGCCTGTGCTCACTCTCTCTCCCTCTCTCTCTGACAAATAAATAAATAAAATCTTTAAAAAAAAAAAAAAAAGAATTTTAAATTAGTTAAAGATCAAGCATAAACACTTGCATAATGAACATTTAGCTAGATTTTTTTTTTTAAGATTTTATTTATTAATTTGACAGAGAGATCACAAGTAGGCAGAGAGGCAGGCAGAGAGAGAGGGAAGCAGGCTCCCTGCTGAGCAGAGCCCAATATGGGCCTTGATCCCAGGACCCTGAGATCATGACCCGAGCCTAAGGGAGCCTAAGGCGGAGGCTTAACCCACTGAGCCACCCAGGTGTCCGATGTTTAGCTAGATTTTTAAAGAATAACACTTTAAAAGAATTGTTGCTGAGGTTTTGAAGTTAATGGGCCATTTCTTTTGAAATTTTTGGCATTAGCCAAGTGGCAAAAATCTAAATCTAGTCCATGCCAGGGCACCCGTATGTCTAGTTTTCCACTTTGTGTTCCACTTTGTGTGCAGACCTGCATAAAACAACATCCAGGAATGTTCACATGGTCTTGTGAAAATGGGTCCAAAAGGGATTTTAAAAATGGGAGTGCTGCTCTGATCTAAAGATTGAGAAATGACAAAAGCACGGGGAGGGAGGCTCTATTTCCAGTTGCCCTATAAGCATGTTTGCCCCTATCTTTTGAATCGAGATCTAGCTGACATAAAACACTGTATGTTTTAGCTGTATGTGATTTGATGTCTGTATTATGAAAAGATGAACAATAATTTAAGGTTCATTATCTTACAGTTTTGTTTTTTCTTGTGAGAACTTTTAAGGCTTACTTTCTTAGCAACTTACAAATATACCATACAGTATTGTAAACTGTAGTCACCATTTCCCAGGACTTATTTATAACTGGAAGCTTGCTCATGTAACCCCCTTCCCCCATTTCACCCAGCACCCCCTTTGTTTCTTACAGACTCTGATCAGATGCCCCGTTGTGCCTTCTTCGAGCACCTGTATAAAATGTCAGCCCCCACGTCCCCTTCTGCATGGTCTTTTTTGTGGACTTTACCACTTACTCCTGGGGGCCAGTCTGCCTCCCTGCCCTGGAACACCGTCCCCAGAGCTGCTCTGCCTGCCCCACTGCTATGCCTGAAGGGCAGGCCTTCAGCCCACACAGGCTGCACTTGCTCAGTCCGCAACACCTGCCTTTTGCCTGAATCACAGAATCCTGTGTGTGGAGCTGAACTCCACATCCCAAGTAATAGCGTGGCCCCAAAGTTAGAGGAATGGAGGTACAGTTTTCTTGACCACTCCTTCCGTCTCTCCCCTGCTGTAAAAACTGAGTGGAGGTAGTGGAGGTAGCAGGCAAAGATCAACTTGTAGCTGCTAACGGAAAGAATTGCACTTCAAACAGTCCTGTTTAAATCACGTGGCTTACTTTATCTTTTTTCAAGTCACAGCTCTATTGAAATAGAAGTCCTGTTCTGTAAAATGTGCCCTTACGGTGTTAGGGGGTATTCAGTGTTTTCTTACCTCCTGAAGAAACCCTGCACCCTTTGGTAGTCAGCCCCTTCCCGCATCCCCCCAGCTCTCCCAGACTGAGGCAACTACTCATCCACTTTCTGTCCCTGTAGGCCGTCATCTAGTAGGTGGGCTTTGGGGACTAGTTTCTTTCACTGGGCATCATGTTCTCAAGGTTCATCCGTGTTGTAGCGGGTCGTTTCTTTTTCTGGCTGGATGATGCTCCGTGCTGTGGGGGGTTTTGTTTATCCATTCTATCAGCTGATGGACACCGGGATTGTTTCTGCTTTCAGGCTGTTGTGAATACTGCTGTTCGCATGTTCATAGGAGAGTTTTTGTGGGCACGTGTGTTTTCAGTTCTCTGGGCTGTATACCCAGCAGGAGATCCGCTAGGGCATATGGTAACATTAACTTCCTGAGGAAGAGCCAGACTGTCCCCCAGAGAGGCTGTACCATGTTACATTTCCACCAGCAGCCTATGGTCCAATTTTCCTGCATCCTCAACCCTGTGACTGTCTTTTTGATGATAGCCAAGCTAGAGGGTATGAAGTAGGATTGATACTTTATCCCTACTTACAAAAAAACCTGTATCTTGTGCAGTGACCACTGCCTGCCACAAGAAAACAAACACACACCTTTTTTTCCGCAGCTGAAACAGAACCTCACGAGGGAAAGAGGAAAGTGGAATCTCTGTGGCCTATCTTCAGGATCCATCACCAAAAAACGCGGTATATTTTTGACCTCTTTTACAAGAGGAAAGCCATAAGCAGAGGTAATGAACTCAATTCTCTCGGCTCACCAGCTTGAGTAGCTTTCACATTTACTTAATGGTTCCTGTTCTTGCAACCTCAGCAAATGTCAGTTTTCTTATTGGTAAAAAAAGTGGGGAGGGGTCAGCGTTGGCTAAACAGTCTTTTTAGTGAAGAGTAGTGATGGGCTGGGGCAGCTTTGTGATACCACGGTCTGACGCCCTTTCCCTTCTTCTTGACAGAACTCTACGAATACTGCATTAAAGAAGGCTATGCAGATAAAAATCTGATAGCAAAATGGAAAAAGCAGGGCTATGAGAACTTATGCTGCCTGCGCTGCATTCAGACCCGGGACACCAATTTTGGAACAAACTGCATCTGCCGGGTCCCCAAAAGCAAGCTAGAAGTGGTAACGTCTCTACCCCTGTAATGGCTGATGATCGAGTTTGAGGTCACTTTTTCAGTTCTGAAGTTTGCCCTAGTTGGCGGCAGGGGACTGAACGCGATTTTGCTGGCTGTCCTGCTGGCCATGCCCCGGGGAGTGAGTCCCTCTCCTGTGTGGTCCGTGCCAGGCGGTGTCGCAGCTGCCATGTGTTAGGTCTGGGGGCCAACTCCACTGCACCCTCGGGCAAGTTACTGAATTCCGTCCTCACACAGGAATTGGGGGTTAGGACACCTGCCCCCAAAGTGGTGGGGAGGGCTGAGTCGGGGGAGCTCAGGCCGGTCAGCAGGCACTCCTGCCCTTCCCCTCGCATGCTCTCCCCAGGCACGCTTTTCTCCAGGCCTTCTCCTCAGATGTATTACATCGTATTTCTTCTGTCAGAACTTTGTTCTAAAACTTGACTGGGCAGCTCAGGAATGGTGCTGCGTATGCAGCCGCTGAGCTGACGGCGTCAGCCTTTCTGAAGTGGAAGTGCAGGGGGAGGGAGGTAGTTCCTAGGACATTGGCTGTGGTGGCCTTTGAGGGCAGCCCCTTGGCTGACCGTGGTGGGCCAAGCCGGGCTGTCAGGCGGGGCTGCCCACCTCCCTGGTGGCCACCTTTCACACAGGTGCCTCATCACCAGTCCCTTGCAGACCAGTTCTAGTTTGTAGAGCTCTGGGCCAAGGGCTTTACCTCAGCAGGCAGCTCTGTCTCCCTGAATCGTCTGTGAAGTCAGGGAGGAGTGGACATCAAATGAGGGCCCAAGGACATCAGATTCTCCCCTGAAGAATCTGGGTGCTGGTTTTCAGGTGGGGGCAGGGAGAGGTGGTAGAGTGGCGGAAGCCACCACACCCCCCTCACCCCGGGATTCTACAGTGGCATTTGATCAGGGGTGTTGCCCCAGCCCTGTGGCCAGAGTAGAGCCCGCTTTTGTCACCATCTGATCTTGTGCATTTAGTTAAGGGTCTTGCTCCTCCAAAAAAATAGAACAAAGGAAAATATACATAAACCACTGCTCTAGGTCCTTCTGTTGAGCAGGCCCTCAGCCGGACATCCGGGCACACCCGGCCCAGTGGACAAGACTCTTCTGCCATTCAGATTCCAGTGCACATCCTCTGCCCCTGTGCCTCTACTAGAACATTCCCCAGCCCAGAGGCCCTGAGCCCCGTGAGCAGTAGCGGACCCACTTCCAGCTCATTGCAGGGTAGCTCATGCTCACTTCACAGAACAAAAGAATCATTCACAGACTTTTTTCCCTTCTGGGGGCCGGTACGTACAGTGACTGCATAAATTAAATGCACAGAGGTGTAGCTTCAGTGTGGGCATCTGTCACAGAAGACTTTGTGAGGAGTGTCCTGTAGACAGCGAATGTCTGGTTGCCACCTTGTTGGGGGTGGAGGTGGGGGGGGGTGGCCCATGGCAGGAGTGTAGCATCTCAGCTGTCCTCTCTTTCAGGGCCGGATCATCGAGTGCACGCACTGCGGCTGCCGGGGCTGCTCCGGCTGAGGCCCTCAGGCCCAGACCCCTCTTCACCCTGAACTTTTGGACTTCGTGGGTTTCTGCCTGTCGCGCCACCCCCTTTCCTAGGAGCAGCTCTTCTCGCAGAGCAGTGCTCCTGGCGTGAGTTGGAGCACGGTCTCTACGTGTAAAGGCTTTGGTGTTTCTCAGCCGTGATTTGTAGAAATAAAATTTTTAAACCTTCTGCGTCCAGCATTTATTCTGTCCGAGAGCCAGCAGTCTGTGGACCCCAGTGCACGAGCACCAGGCCCTAGAAACTGGTCCCCTTGGGCCTCCATCCTGACTCTACCTTTTAGATGCTGTGTGACTGTGAGCAAGTTCACGTTCCTCATCACTGCAGGGACAGCCACCTCCCAGATGAGGGTGACCGGAGATGGTCTGTTAAGGTGGGCCATGCTGCTCTCGGACCTGCCATGAACTTGTCAGGCACCCTGGGCCCAGCGTGTGTCCTCATACCAATGCCTGCAAAACGCTGCCGCGCTCACTCCACGCTAGACCCTTCCTCAGGCTTGAGGCCACACGAGTACATGCACAGGCCTGATGTGGAGAGGCTCCTGGGGCTCCCACGGGGCCCTGTAAACGACACGCCCTTCGCCCCAGCTCTGATGGAGGCCCAGCACCTCCCATCACCTGCCTCCATGGCCTCCGTCCACATGGACTTCTGTGATGGGGTCTTGGTCCCCCTGGTGCTTGGTTCGGAACTTCTGCCACGGGTGGGGGGTTTCCTCTGCCGGCATCACTTTCAGCCACTGCTTATAATAAGCTCGGAAGCCATCAATCTTCTCCAAGTAGGTGTTTTTCCCTTTGTACTATAAATGGAAAAGCATGGGGTTCAGAGGAGACTTTAGTCACTGCATGCTACCTACGGCTCATCCCAAACCAAGGCAGCCAGCTCCGGTCTCAGGAAAGCTGTTCTCATTTCTAGGTGGTTAAGGGGGGAGGGCAGGAAAACTATGGATACTCAAGTCACCTACTGTCAAGAAACAGCTGCTGTGGGGCAGACCACATTCCCATCTGCTAACCATCCCTTGAAGTCAGTGCTGCTGTGCTACACCCAGGGATGGCCCCCTGGCCCCCCAAGCTAGAATCGCTGGGTGCTAACACTGCCTCCGCAGCCTAAGCGCCTCCCCTGTGTCCTCTCAGCACTGCTGCAGTGGTCTCGAGAAGGGGGGAAGAAACAGAGGAAACGAGAGGTTCGGCAGATGCTAAAAGAAAGCTGGTAAAGAAATGCATAGAAATAAAAAAAGCCAAAAATATATTGAAGATAAAAACAGCCCACGTGGACAAACAACTAGATTCAAAAGATTTAAGAATTCCAGAAGTTGTATGTATCTAACCCAGCCTGAAAGTACATAAAACAAAAACTCGACAGGGACAGACAGAAATAAGTCCCCGTCCTAAGGGAATAGGAGTGTGATCTAAATCCAGTAAGCTTTAGGCCTGCGGTAGGCTGGTATCTGGACTGAACCTGAAACGATGCCGTCAGAACAATGCACCACGGAGTGGGGACAGGTCCACTAACCGGAAGATACTTGCAACATGGAACAAAACATGAGAATCCAGAACACACGAAGACCCCTGAAGAACCAGTAAGGCAAGACTAACCGCTAGATGTTCAGATGCCCAGTTATGCCCTCTGCCTGGCGTACGCTCTGCTGCTGTCTCCCAGATTCTGACTGAGCCCCCAAAATGGCCCTCATGCGTTGCACCTGCACAGTTGTCCCTGACACCATACCTGGTGTGTCCGTGCTCCTCTCCCTCCCTCCCCACTGGGATGGTGTTCCTCCAGGCCACAGCTGCCCTGGGGGCACTCAGCATGGGGGACTCCCATGGCCCCTACATCCGAACCCCCCCCAGCCTGCGATCCTCAGCACAACAGGGAGAGAAGTGGCCGTTACAAAGCAGACTCTATCACGGCCTGGCTGCCATCCCCATTCACTGGACGAACAATGGTCTATACGGGGCACCAGTCAATGGGCAGGTACCGGGGAGCCAGGCGAGCAAGGCGGTCAGTCTCCAGCTCCAGGGGCTTATGGGTTCTGTGAAGGTGACAGTCACCTGTGCAGGTGTAATTACTGGCTGTGAAACACAGCGAAAAGGAACAGCGCTGGATGTGAGGGGCAGGAGGGAGCAGCAGGGCATCCCTGAGAACGAGCCATCCAAGCTGAGACCGACAGGGTGAGGTGCCAGTTACAGGAAGCGGGCAGCCTACTCAAGGCAGAGGGAATACAAAAACCCCAAGGCAGAAGAGACTGTGTCATACAGAAATGACGGAAGGCCAGTGGGACTGACAGTGAATCCAGGAAGAGTGAAAAGAGATGGAGTGGGCCACAGGGACTCATGGGCTGTGGTTTAAGGAATTTGGGATTTCTCCTAAGGGAAGGCACTGACAGTTTAAAGCAAGGGAGTTCCAGCTCCCAGAGGCCAGACCTGGGGCGGGGGGAGCAGGGGGAGGCAGGGCAGTTAAAGAGAAGACAGGCGAGTGAGAGGTTGGCACACACACCCGATCAAAGGAGGGCGGGTACTGGGCGGCAAACTCCAGCTGGCGGATGACCACCTCATTCACAGGGACCCTGTTCTGCCTCATGTCCTTCAAGATGTCAATGAGATAGGTGTAGTCCAGTTTCTTGAGGGCCGCGTTGATGAGGGTGCTGTAGATGTGGGTGTTGGGGGTCATCTGGGATTTCTGCAATAGCACAGACATACGATTAGTGAGCTAATGGCAGCCACTGGGACAAAGCAGCCCTCTGGGTGCGTCGGGCCATTCAGGCCTGCTCTGCAGACCAGCCACCAGGCCAAGAGTACACCCCACTCCAAAAGGAAAGTACACGTGCCCTGCACTGTAGGTCCATCCCACCCGGCCCCAGGGACCCTATCTTCCCTGGCCTGAAGAACTTGCTCAGAGATCAGCAGACCCAGGCAGTAAAGCACATGCAGAAGACCACCTCCTCGGCTCTTGCCTGTGGGTTTACTGTAATCCCTGCTCCCAGAATGCTGTAGCACCCCTGCTCTAGTCATGCCTCCCACCCCTCCAGAGTCGGGGCCAAAACCTGTTCCTCCCCACCACCTCTCCCCACTGCAACCACCTTCAAGACTCTAACACCCTGTTTTCAACGCCAGATCCTGAAGCAACTTACCAGAGTCTACTTTCTCTCCACTTGGGCCAGTGACCTTTCTACACTTGAAGCTAGAATGACCCCACACTCCCTGCCCCCATGCACACTGTTTGGGCTGTTGGGTGCAGAGGTCTGGGGGTTCAGGAGGGCCCAGCTTTCTCCTTGAGCACCCCTAGTTAGCCCCATGGGTCCCCCCAGGCCTGGACCCACTCACCTTCATGTCTGCAAGCAGCTGCAGACCATCCCTTGGCCTGTGGCACCCGATGGCCAAGTTGCAGAAGGTCTGCAGGTTAGGGACAATGCCCCTCTTTGCCAGGAGTGGCAGCAGTGCCTGTGGGGACAGAGACGGCATCCCTGGAAGCTGTGACCCACCAAGCCTGGCAGGAGTCTTCTCAGTTGAAGGCCGTGGCTGGCTGGAGACCTCGGGGGCACAGTTCTGCTCAGAGGCCTCACCACTCCCTCCGGGACCACACTGGATGAGGGTCTCGGCCTGGCTTGCAAGTACGCAGCTCCCCAGAATTTAGCCGCTCTGCGAGGACACCCTGCCTTCCGAACCATCTCCACCATGCCAACCCCCTGCCCCGAGGCCCTTCATATTCCCAAGTCTCTCTGCTTCCCTGCTGGCTGTCCATCCAGCACTCGGCCCTTCAACGTCAACTGAGCACCAGTGGTCTCCCAGGCCCCTGGCCCCACAGTCCAGGGTGGGAGGCAATGCCAACAACAGCGTAGGACGTAAAGCTGAGGCTGTGGGGGCTTGGGGGTGAGGAAGAAGATGCCCTCGTGGCCTGGCTGGCTCAGGGAGGGGCTCTGTTGTGCTCAGCTAGTCTAGAGGAAGGCGTGCTCTCCACTGAGGCCCTGAAGAAAGAGGCTGTGTCCCTGTCACCTTTGATGCCCACAGGAGCCCAGCTCAATGCTCTGACCAAAAAGCCATCACACAGACACATGGACAAAACCGCATGAGGGCTCCGGTGCCCCATCTGTGGAATGGGGGTAGCCTTGTACTCGCAGAGCCTTGTGGCGTGGTCAGTGGAGTGAGGAACGGATGGGAAGCTCTTCAAATGGGCATCTAACACAGAGGGCTGTATCAGAGTGTGTGTGTGTGTGTCTGTGTGTTGGGGAGTGTGACTGAAGGGTGGGGACACTCCTGAGCCACCAGGCTCTTAGGCCACAGGTCCCACGGCCCCTGCATGCTTTGTGCTCCTCAGGCGGTGTGAGGATGTCTGGGGTCTGCCATCTGTGAGCTCCTCGGGGAGGACAGGCAGCGCAGCCGGCCGCTTCACCCCTCCATTCTCAGCTCTGCCCAAGTCCAGGCCCAGAATGGAGGCTTTGGTCAGTCAGCTCACCTACCCCAGGAAGGGGTGACGCCCCCTGCAGGGCAACCAGGTCCTGCAGTCAGAAAGTCTGAGGAGGGAAGGAGAAGGAGGGGCCCCAGCCTTGCACCTGGTGCCTACCTCCCAGCCCCTCACCTTTGCCCCCTCCAGATCACCAGACTTGCTCTTCTTCCTCATCAGGGTGTTGAAGAACGTCACGTCGGCTTCCACCTGGTACGTGTCCAGGATGTTCAGCAGTGAGGACTCTGAGGGACTCCCAGGTGCCACCACCTCAGCCAGCAGCGTGAGGGTTTTGATGTTGGGTCGGAGCCCATGCTCTTCCATCTTGCCCAAGAAGCCCTCTAGGCCCCCCATCAAGGCCAGCCTGTCAGCTGGGGTGGTCACAGTCCCAAAGGAGACCACAGCTGGGGAGACTGGTCCCAAGGTCAGGAGGTTAGCCTCCAGCCTGCAGGGAGAAGGTTCTGGGGCCAAGGAAATGAGGGCCACCTTGTGGTCGGGCTCTGTGTTCATTTCCACCTCAGGCTGGGCCTTGCTGGGGACTCTGGCTTCGAGAGGCTCTGGCAGGCTCTCAAGCACCTGAGAAGATTCCAGAAACAGCTGCCTCTCCAAGGCCTCCACATGCAGCCTGACTGACACACCATCGTTCACCCGGGCCCGGGCTCTCCTCCTTGCCCGAAACCCACGTGCCAGGGGCTGGAGCATGACGGTCTCCTCCCTGGGCCTCAGGAGCAGTGCTG